GTCATCATCTTGTGATTTATTTATTCGAGTATCAGATATAGTGAAATGAAGATATGAAGTATACTGTTAAAATATATAAAAATCATGCGCTACATTGTTCTTAAAAATATTTTAAATCTAAGAAAAAATAATTTAAATACCCGTTCAACTAAATTTACAATAAACTTCTTTTTCGGAAAAATATTTCTATAACCAAAACCTTGCATTTAGTGAATCAAATTACACGAGTCTTCAGATAATTTTGCTAAAAGATTTTGACCCTGAAACCTTAATCTTAGGTCTTGCTGAATAGCTGAAGTATTATTTAAAGACTTTGCCGATAATGATGTCAACGCTGCACTTGTAGTCTGCATAGTAGATTTCGTCATTTTTGTAGGATTTACAGATCATGTTCTCTTTAAAATTGTTTCTTCAGATTTAGATGCAGACAAACTTTGAGATAAATAAGGTTGTAATTGTAACTGTTGTGATTGCAATATTTCTTTTTTGTGTCGCTTTTTTGAACTAGACTTTATGATATCCTCATAATAAATCTTACTCTTGCGAGTTTGATGAGTCATATTAGATTAGATATTTATAAAAAGATTAAAACTTGGTTTTGTTTGCTTAACTAATTTTTTTAATACTATATATTTATAAGTTGCATATCCTTATATCATAAGGAAATGCCTATAGGAACATCCTTATGCTATAAGAAAGTGCTATTAGACTTTAGGTCATTTTATAACAAATTTATAAAATAATTATCGATTAAAATGATTTTTAATTTCTCATTATAATGAAACCTTTTAAAATGAGTGTATTATGTTTTTTAATTGAGTGAATTTAGTCAGATTTTTATAATAACTGAAATGAGCTTACTAAATAAAGGTATTAAGTTATACTTTTTCAAAAAATAGTTTTGGTTAAAATAATAGTATCATATACCACTGACTATTATTGTGTTTAATTTGTGAGCGGAAAATAAGTTTTCTTTGTTTTAAGCAACTTTTAAAGTTGTAAACACTATGTGACCAATCACATAGTGTTTTTGTGGTTGATTTCTCGTTTTAAGCGATCATTTTTCTATATAAAATGAAAAAACATACAATGGGACATTTATTCAAAAGAAATAATTGCCCATGGCTGGAAAAAGATCTACAAAAAAAAAAAAAATCTCAAAAAAAAATTTTAAAATAGAATAACATAATTTTTAGTAATAAGAGGTATAACGCCCTGTATATATTTAGTTTTAATATTTATGTTTTGTTTCAAAAGAAATAAACTTAACTAAAAGTTTTTTAAAATAAATAACTAGAGGACGTTTTGCCCATAAAAGGGCATTTTCCTTCACCCAAAGGGGCATTTTCCTTCACCCAAAGGGGCATTTTCCTTCACCCAAAGGGGCATTTTCCTTCACCCAAAGGGGCATTTTCCTTCACCCAAAGGAGCATTTTCCTTCACTCAAAACTAATTGCAAACAAACTACTTATATTGATTAAGTTTTAGAATTTTTATACTTTGAATATTGTGGAATAAATTCCCACTAAACAAACATTTCTTTATCATAATCACACAAATAATAATAATACAATAAACTAATTTTTTTAACTTTTAGTGTTGCAAGATGTTCCTAAAGTCATGTCCCTTGTGCATTTGAGACACCTAGGTAAATTAATATTGTTTAATTCTTTATATTCTATTGTTTTGAATTTTTATGTATAGAGTTATAACTTTTCTTGTAATTTACTGAGAAAATCTTTTGAAAAGTTATAACCTGATTAAAACCAATTATTTGTTGAGTATGTAAATATATAAAACAATAGCATATAAATGGAATAAAACAATATTATTCAAATGCACAGGGGACGTGACTTATGGATATCTTGCCCCACCCTATCCTAAACATGAAAAATAAGAAAGCTTAAGAAGAGAATAAAAACAATTGTTAAAAAAAAATGAAACGAAAAAATTAAACTGAAAGATACAAAGAACGAAGGGCGAGAAGACTGCGTCAAAGTAAGTAATTTTAGTACATATCGTACATATATATGTGATATATATGTACAATCTTTCTTATTGTAAATTTTGTGATACGGCAAAGGAAATGGAATATATATACATATATATATATATATATATATATATATATATATATATATATATATATATATATATATATATATATATATATATATATATATATATATATATATATATATATATATACATCGCTCCGTTTCAGTTACGTTTGTAAACACGTTTATACGCGTAAATTGCGTTTGAGTTACGTTCGTAAACGCATTTTATATGCGTATGTTGTGTATTAAATGCGTACGTTAATGCAGTTATTTGCATATATAGCGTTTACGTTTACGAAAGTAAACGCAAAAAATTGCGTTAAATGCGTTTGAGTTTGCGTGTGAGTTTTTATTTTGGAACGCAAACGCAAAACGCGTTTTTTTGCGTTCCAAAATAAAAACTCACGCGCAAATTGATTGTAGGAAGAGTTTCATCACAAAATATTAAGATTATTACCTTATTTGTTATTTTTAAAGATACTACAAGATACGTATTTATTTATTTAAGTAGTTTAAACTTCAAAATTAGTAAAAAAAGTTAAGTGTTACTAATAATTTTACCACCCACTGTATATATATACACTCGCGAAGGAATAGGCGGGAAGAGGGGGCAAAGAGGGACGATAGCCCCTCCCTCCTCCCGCAATTTCCTGAACAGTTTTAAAAAACCTTTTATAATAGCAACAGCGGAATTATTCTTTCCCAGTCTGCAATAAGCCACTCACAATTAAACATCACCACGGAAAAGTGTATTCATAAAACTGTTTATGATATACTTTTCTACTATATAGATACATTAGATAGTATCGCATCCTAACTATTTTTTACATGAATGTGTGCAGGCAAAAGATGACAAATCAAGTTAAAAAGATGATTATTCACGTTGCGTGCGATAAATAGTTGAATAAATAGATTATTATTATTTATTTTGCTGTATCATACAAAAATGAGGAACTTTTTATTTTTTAGCATATGTTTTCAGACCCCCCCCCCCCCACCAACTGTCGAACTTCCTACGCCACTGTGTATATATATGCATATATATATGTATATATATATATGCATATATATATATATATATATATATATATATATATATATATATATATATATATATATATATATATATATATATATATATATATATATATATATATATATATATATATATATATATATATATATTACCTGTTTGATACGCACACATTATTATTTTAACAAAAATAAAAATGCTAATCAATGTATGTTTATTAGACATGTTTCCAACATAAAGTTCATCTTTAGTAAAATATAAAATTATAAAATTAAAAACATTATATATAAAAACCTTTGAATATCAACTTGTAATATACAAACTGTTCAAAGTGTCCTTAGGAAATATAAATCTATAAAAATGATTCTTATAAAAATATATTAAATATGTTACAAGACTAATTTATAATATCAAAAAAACCTCTTTATAAATACAATTAGAAAACTAAAAAAATTAAGAAAAATAAAAAGTAAACAAACTAAGTATATGAGAGTTAATATTATTCAAAAATTCTGCTTATGCAAGTATGGTTTTTTCCATTTAATATAAAAACTTTATTTAATTTTTAGTTCAAATTTTAAATTTAGCAAAGTGCAAAATTTTAAAAGAATAATATTTTCTGTGAACATATGTTATTTTTTAAATGTTGAAAAACGTGTGGTTTTTTATCATCCTTGAAATGGTCGTTTGTACGTTAGGAAAATGTTTAGACCGTTAGTTTCTTGTACCAAACATTACAGTTTGCACAAGTGAATTTATAGAAAACGTGGGATTTATTTCTTTAAGGAAATAAGTCTGAAAGAAAATATATCTAGTAAGATCCGAGTTATTGATTTTTTTAAAATGGTTTTAGCGTTTTGAGTATCATCTTAGTAACCATGTCATGTGCAATTAACTTCAGGCGAGTTATCAATAAGAATTATAAACCAATTTATAAATTTATAAACCAATTTATAAATTTATAAACCAATTTATAAATTTATAAACCAATTTATAAATTTATAAACCAATTTATAAATTTATAAACCAATTTATAAATTTATAAACCAATTTATAAATTTATAAACCAATTTATAAATTTATAAACCAATTTATAAATTTATAAACCAATTTATAAATTTATAAACCAATTTTTTATTTAATTGAAGTATAGCTTAAAAAAATAAAAGTTAAAAAAGTTTTTTTTTATTTTATATTTAAAAAGAAAAGTTTCTTTATAATAAATACTTGTGATCAATTTCGCGCTTTTTTTCGAAGCATATGTCTAAAAATAGCCAAGCAATGATATCTAATATTGAAGTGCAAGAAAATTATATGTATATATATAATTGTGAAAAAAATTATGAAAAGTGGGACCTTTTTGTACCTTAAATCGCCAAATTTTGTAGAGACAGTCAACAAAAAAGGGTTATTTATCAATAGTCGATATACGTAAATATAAAGACCTTTTTTATTTCTACGTTTGGCAAAACCCACCACTTGACACCTATTTCCGCTGGCCTTGTATATATATATATATATATATATATATATATATATATATATATATATATATATATATATATATATATATATATATATATATATATATATATACATACATAGACACATACATACATACATACATACATACATACATACATACATACATACATACATACATACATACATACATACATACATACATACATACATACATACATACATACATACATACATACATGGATACATACATACATACATACATACATACATACATACATACATACATACATACATACATACATACATACATACATACATACATACATACATACATACATACATACAAAGCTTAAAAAAATTAAAAGATTCGTCTCTGTTAAAGAAAAGTTTGTTTAACGCATTAAAATAAAATAGACTAGTAATAAAATAAATAATTCATTTTTTAAAGAAAAAAAAAACTATTAAAGTTAATCAATTAAAATAAAGCTGATGAACGATAACTTTGTTCGTGACTTACGGTCATAGCGCGTCTTATTTGCATTTGCTCATCAGATGTCACTTTTGGACGAAATATCGTTGGTGAACTATGGTACTGTTCTCTTTTTAAAATGCTATCGTTATGATCATCATAAATATATCTTCCACTTAGCTGTAAATTTTTCAAACCCTCAGAACTGTCAATGAATTTTGACTCTTTTTTTAAACTTTCCATTATTTCATTTATATTAAATCCTGTTACAGCTGATACATTGTGGGTTGCATACAACTTTTTGTTTATCTTACGTTTACGCTGTAGATCTACTTTATTGCGAACCACAACGATTGGAATTTCTGTGTATTGTTTATTTTTTACTTTCAAAATAGTGTTGCGTAACTCTTTGATTTGAATAAAGCTTTCGTCATCATCACAAGAATAAACAAGCATAAATATATCTGCCTTGCGGATAAATATATCGCGCATTGACGGAAACATATCTGCACCCCCAAAATCCATAAACTCCATTACAGTATTAATACTGTCGATTAAAATTTCTTCTCTATAAACGTCATAGCAGGTGGGAACTGTTTCTAACGAAGTTTGATTGCAGATTTTTTTTATAAGAGAAGTTTTCCCAACTCCAGTTTTTCCTAGCACTAAAATTTTTACTGTTTTTTCTTTTGGAATTTTGTACTTCTCTTTTCCGAATATTTGTTTAATTAAATTCATTACAACAAGTTTCATACCAACTCATATATTACAGGGCGTTTATCTAAAATTGTTTCTAGACATCAAAATTTTACGCAAGCTGATAACAAATTTTTATAATCTAAAAATTTATCTAAAAAGCATAACAACACTAAGGTTACAGTAAAGTGGTTAACAAAACTTTTACTACAAATAATACTATAAGTATTATTATTTAAACATAAGTAGTTTTCTTAGTAAATAATCATGCACTAATTGTGAAAATTAACATTATAAACACGTGTTGCTTTTTATATGGTGGTAATAATTAAATGTATTTAATAAATTTAAAAAATACTCAAGTATAAAACAATAACTAAAACAACAACAACAACAACAACAACAACAACAACAACAACAACAACAACAACAACAACAACAACAACAACAACAACAACAACAACAACAACAACAACAACAACAACAACAACAACAACATTATACTTTATTATAGCTCTTTTGTTAAACTTTTAAAACTGTTATCTTATAGTTGATACAAATGCCAAATCTCTCAGCAAATAGTTATTTTAGTATAATTTGATTCTTGATTTTTTAAATAATGTCAGCGATTTTCTGATGTACCTTTCCCATGAGGCACAATACCTTTTTTGGACGTCTTAAGGATGTCCTACGCATTTAGTGACGTCTATAAGACGTCGTATAGACGTTTTACGGACGTCTGTGCCTGCTGGGTAATACACAATTAATAAATTTAAATCCCCTGCATTTATTCATATATTTAGAGCATAGCAAGGTTTGTGCTGTGACAAAGAATATCCGTGAAATGTCTGTATTGAGTCAATAAATTGTTATCAACCGTCAGAATCAACTAAATTACTATTAACGGAGTCATTCTCTTAAAATATCAAATAAAACATTTTTATACTAAATTTTACGTAAATATAATTTTTTTTTTTGACGATTTAAAATAGTTTTATAATTTTTCAAAAGCAGGAACTTTTCATCTTTTGAAACGTAGGAATGTCAAGGACAAACTATGTATAGGGTATTTTACAAAATATGTGTGTACGGAATACTACTAAACACTAGATTTATGCTGAAAATGCAAAGGTCGTATTTCCTGAAATACACAATACTATAAAACTTAAATTAAAAGCGGTTAAATAGGGAAGTGAGAACATAAATACTAATAAATCGACTTTTTTAAGAAGTGTACACCACATAGTAAAACCATACACAACGCTACAAATTTTTAAAAACTAAAAGAATGAAGTAAATATATTACAAAACATGCAGAAAACAATTTTAAAATATGTAGAAAATGCTGAAAAACACGAAGTAAACATTTGATAAAATGTAATAAACATTTAAAGACAAAATGTTTTAAATGTAAAAATCAAACAATGAACCATCTACAAACAATGATGACATCCGAAAATTTTCCCCAGTTTTTCAACCCCCTTTTCTCGTTTATCAAATTTCTTTCAATATTTGACTAAACCCCCTTAAAATAATGTCACTTTTTCTTACACCTCCCTCTTAAAACAACATTAAAAATGCATATAAATGCGTTTATAAAGTCAATAATTTTTTAGTTTAATAAAATTATAAAACTATTATCAGCAGTACTGAATTGACGTATAAATCACGACATCAATTCGCGAGGATAGAATTATTTTGTTCTATCTTCACATTTTTGAGTTTTGAGATAAAACTTACTATAAAATAAAAACGTTTTTTTTAAAAAAATTCTCTGCAACTTTTTTAATTATAATTTAGGTTTCAATATAGTAGAAAAACATTATTTTGAGGTACGTAACACAATTAATAACACATTTTTTTCAAAACGTTGAGATAATTCTAACTACGCGAATCGTTCTTTAAAGTTTTAAAGAAATAAAGAAGCTTGTTTTTGATAAAGCAATGCTGTTTCAGTATTATTTACATTGCAATCAGAATATTGATTTTCCTTATGCCAGCACCAAAAAGCATATATTTTTTGTACCACGTTATAGTTGTAAACACCTTTAAATCTGCTCATAGTAGGTAAATTTAAACTTTAAAAAAAAAACTTTTTTAACATGACATTGTTTTGGTTTCAACACCCTCTCCCCATTGTTAATTATTGTCAAGTTTTTCAGCGCCCCTTCACCATCTAACTACTGCCATCATTTATGGATAGCCCCGAAAACCATTTTTAAAAACAATAAAATAAATGAAATAAAAGTTGAAAAAAGTATGTTAAAGTTGAAAAACACTTAGAAAGCATTAAAATAACGTTTAGAAAACATTGAAAACTTACTCAATTTACAAAAGAAATTATCAATTAAACTGATGTTTCATTTTTTGAATATTTTTCAATGTTTTATTACATGCATTTGTTTCATCTAAATATTTCTACATGTTTTTCAATGTTTTCTATATGCCTTTCAAGTTAAAACTTACTTGTGTGTTTGTTTACTTGTCAGCTTGTGTAATACGCATATAAGATTTAAAAGTGTTCTGAATGCTTAAATAAAATGAGAAACCGGAATGCGACATAAAGTTGTTAAAATTAAATTTTAAAATGCCAAAAATACAAAAAATAAAGTAAAAAAATTTTGTCATTTAAATAAATTTAATTAAAACAGTACACAAAACAAAACAAGTCTTAAAAATTTTAGATAAACAAATGCATATAATAAAATGCATTAAAAAAACAAATTCAAAGCTGACCTAAACTTAAATATATATTTTTTTATTTCACAAAAATAGTTTCAAGCTCAAAAAATATTTTTTTTTTGTGCTTGAAACAAAACAAAAACAAACAAAAAATAATTTTATTTTTTATTAATTAATAAGTGTTATTATTAATTAAAAAACTCTTAACCTTCAGTTGACGTTTAAACTGTACAAACTATTTTTAATTTTATTAAGAAACTTTCAAAATCGCAGCTATACTTTCAAAATTTAACTATACTAAAATAATAAACACAAAGTTGTTGGCATTATTTTTAAATAAATTGAATAAAGCTGTTGGTTGGTTCCATCTTTTTAATAAGATTTAAAGCTAATTAACGTAAGCTTCGCCATCACAATCCAAAATCTTTTTATATAAAAGAACAGATTTTAAATAATAAAAAAAATTGGTTAAAAGTTATAAACAAATAGTTTTTTTTTCCTGCTTTTTTTCTTATTCGATTATTGGCTGCAAAAACAGTTTTTTAATTATCGAAACACTTTTTATATCAAATAATTGTTGCAGATTAAATGTTAAAAAGCACTTCTTTTTTTTCGAGCAGATTATAAAAGAGCACTGTAAAAAGACAATATTTGCAATTAAAAAAATCAAGAAAAATTATCTTTTGTTATAAATTATAAAATTTATCCGTTCCTTAGCTTTTTGCAGATCATATCATAAATAATGCCATTGTTTATTCATATAACATTTAAACAGACTTATGACGTAATAATGAGGATTTTTGTACTTTGAAGAACTTGCGTAAGATTTTTCATCGGTAATTCAATTCATTAAAATTAAATTGAAGAATTGTGATTTCTACCAACGGTTGCGCGTTCAGATGAATCTTTCGTTTCATTTCAATTTACCACAATATAAACTTGTTTATTTTTGTAGTTTTATATCAGTTTAAGTAATCTTGTGTTAATTTAATTTTAATAAATAAATTTAATTAAATTAATGTATTACCACTAATAATTCTTAAAGATTATTTGTGGAAAGCTATTATAAACTGATCGACAAATCCAAAATCCTTATTTTGATAAACCAATCAAAATCGGTTGAAATGCGATTTAGAGATTAAAGGATTAAACAATAAAACAAAAATAAAAAGTAAAGAGATTCATTTTTAGCCAGTGGCGTCAAAAGGGTTGGAATTACCTAGCGTGGTAACTCAATGAAGTTACTAAGCAAAAATGACCACTCAGAAAGTGATCGAACTTAGACCTAATACTTATAATTTTCTTTAGTTTGAATGTAACTTTTGATTGAAAACTTTAAAACATGTCTGCTACTACCTTAACGGCTCTAGATTTAATCTAGTTTTAAGTCTAGAATTAAAGATCGGAATCAAAATGGCTAGAATACAAGTTATGGGAACAACTTTGTTGTCACCAAAGAGTGGCAGTTCATATTGTCATTTCCATCACTGTTCAAATTTTTTAATGTCAGAAATATGGCCAGCAGCTTTTTTACTTTCTAAAATAAAAATGTTGCATATTTTACTTATAAAATATGCTTCGTGAATTTTCACACTTTAGATTACTACGGACATTATTGGTTATTGTGAAAGTTTTATTACTCTAAGCGGTTGCAAAACTTGCAAAGAAAATTAAAAATTAAGAAGATCTTCGAAGTGTGAAGACTGTTATATAAAGATAAAAAATTTTACTACTAGGTATCTTCAAAAGGAAAGAGAATTAGAAGAAGAAGAAGAAAAAAAAAATGGTTTCATCTTCGAATATCGAAAACATTATCTCAGAAGAAGAAATTGTAGCGATTGCAAGTCCTATAGCGCCAACACTGAAAGTGTGCCCACTAGCAATGAAAATGACGATTGCAATAATAAAGCGATAAAGGAATGAAATAAATGACGATAATGAAGAAAAGGCAATAAACAAAAAAAGCAAGCACTAAATAAAGAGAATAAAGCATAAATGTAATGGTGATAGCTCTGGTACTACCAACCCGGATGATGATCTTGTATTTTTTTGTAATAGGAATAAAGAATATAGTTTACAACCACAAAAAAATAATTGCCGGTTGTCGTAGCAACGTAGTATTCTGATTTGGAAGTTTAGCAATTAAATCATTGTTTGAAAAAAAATTTATATTATTCTGTAATGATTCCATTCAAAATTAGGGCATCAAAGAAAAAATTAAGCAAGAAAACATTCAAAGATAAAATAATTGAACGTACGATTTCATACGAAGGTATGTATTAAGAACAATTGGAATTCTGGAACAATAAATTTTTTGAAAATTAGTAATTAACTTTGTATCACGTAATTAACTAGATGGTTAAAAACAATTTTTTTTGAATATAAAATAAACTTAAATTTAATTGGGCACTTAAATTTGCTTTTTTTTTTCTTTTTTTTATAGTTTTGGTGAATTTTAAATTACTTTATTGTGATTTTAGATTTATAATCAGAATAAAATCTTATCTCTTTAATTATAAAATTTCCTAGTTAATATATAAGAACTTTTTTCTTAGGAATACATAACCTTTTTTAAACTTTTTATATAAGTATATATAATTATATACAAATAATATTTTTTTATAAGTTGCATAAACTTGATGCACAAAACAGTTATTATTTTTATTATTATTATATATATATATATATATATATATATATATATATATATATATATATATATATATATATATATATATATTATATATATATATTAATATCAAAACACAATATATATCTGCGAGGTAAACCTCAAAATCTTTTTATCGAAAAAATTTGACTGATTTTAGAGAATTTATCGAAAAAAAGAGTTAGCGAGTTTACGTTTACATTTACTTTTACAGTTACTTTAGAAGCGCCGTCCGACTTTAGTGAAACTTTTTACGACTTTATTGTATTAGGAACAAAAGATTTCACGCATGGTTTTAGGAATTTCAATAGCGTTGCGCTTCCAATTTTTATACTTTTTTGGTATAATGTATAATGTAAAGTTCGTTCATACGTCAATAAGCAAATTCTCAAACTAATATATTTTGGGCTAATTTATTGCTTCATCAGCTCTGCAAACATACCATGTTTAAGAACTCAACCACCAAAACTTAAAACAATTAATAGCTTACAAAAATATACTTGTAGAATTATTTACTTGAAGTGAATTATTTACTTGAAGTCTTAAGGAAAGAATTTTAGTTATATCAACTTTTAGTTATATTTCTCTATACCTCCCTTAAAGAGGACGTCATAAAACCCTGACCCCTCCCCCTTATTTTAACCCAAAGAAAAATTTCTTTCATCTTGCAATGATGTTTGAATCTGCTGCTACACCTTTGAAAAATAAAACTAAGAATATTCTCATACATTATTTTTTAAAAACACATGTTTACGTAGTTTTCCATGTTAGTTGAACTAAAATTAAAAATCTATAAAGTGATGTTCTTTTCTGACAACCACCCCCTACCCTTATCCTTTTTTAATGGGTGGCCCCTAAATGGAAGAAAAAAAAACGCACGATGGTATTATTAACGCAGCCGCGGTGCATTAGTTAGAGTTCTGGCTTCAGAAATGGAGGTTCGTGGTTCAAAGTTGGCTCTAGCCATCTATCAATCACTGGTAAGAAAGAAGGCATGAAAAAACTCTTTTGTATCGCAATGATTTCAACGTTAGTGTTAGTATTTACTAACACTTATCGAGAAAAGTATTAAATTTACATATTTAACATAAATTTATATATTAAACATAAATTTACATTTGGTTTTTAGTCAATACAGTTTTTACTTTTTTTTTTTGTTTATTTTTTATTTATATTATTAATTATTTATAATATTTAATTAATTTGAGTGACCAGAAAAATTAAAGCCGATTACCATTACTTGATCTAAAGGATTTCTTAGCAAAATAAAATTGCTTTCAAAATTCCAGCCAAACATATTTGGCTTTATGGACTCATTGTAAAAGGATACACAGTAAAAAAAACAAAACCACTTTATAAAAAAAAAAAAAAAAAAAGCTAAACAAGAACAAAATTCACCTTATAATTACCTTCTTTAAATGAGAAAATTATTAATTTGAAAATATTTTTATAATTGTATTATTTACCAGTAATGGAACCATAAGCACGACAATAAATACAATGAAATTATTTTCATTGAGCTACGATTTCAATAACGGAGCAATAGAAACAAATTAAAAATGATTTTTTTTTTTTAATTTTCTTAAGTTTATATATTTTGTCGCATTTTAATTACTTTTTTATCTCTTATCCACATTATTAAGTGTAAGAACTGCCTTATATTTTATAAAAATGACAAAATAACTTTTGCAATATGAACACTAAGGGTGGGAATTATTTTTTCAAATTGATTGTCCTTCCAATATTTCAAAGCCAAGAAATCATTTATATGGAAATTTGATTTAGAAACCACTGATGGGTTTTAAAAAATTATGTAAGACAAAAAAGATATTATGAAGATATCATTTCCTTTTAGAATTGAGTAATATTCCTAGATCAAGTAATCTTATTAAAGAAATCTCAATTAAAGTTTGTCAATTATGGAATAAAATGACGATACCACGTTTTACGGAGAAATCTAGTAGTAGTAGTAGTAGTAGTAGTAGTAGTAGTAGTAGTAGTAGTAGTAGTAGTAGTAGTAGTAGTAGTAGTAGTAGTAGTAGTAGTAGTAGTAGTAGTAGACCCAGCGGACACGGATGTAAAAAAAGACGTCTATTAAACGTCTTATACAGGTTTTAGACAACTTTTGAACGTCTT